ATAATATTATTTAGTACAATAAAGTATTCTTTATACTATATAATATCACACACCAAACATATCAATCTTATTCTAAAACATGGATGTATCAAATTAATCAATGATAATCTATCAGGTATTAATTATATGCAATATCTATAAACCCGATTGTTAATTAACATCTGTGGCTTTTAGGGCTTTAATATAACAAAAACATGATGAAACTCCGGAAATAACAAGTGGAAGAAGGCGATGCAGTTGTTTTATTAGCTTATTATTTTCTATATGTTAGATCAAAGTTTAGACATTTGTAGGATATATAACTGACGCAAGATGGGAAAGTTCACCATTGCTTTTAAATCAGTAGAAATGCAACTTACAGCGAACTTTATATCAAGAATTACGTGCGACAAAAGAAGATTTTGTTATTTGATCATCAGAAAGTTGTATTCCTCAACTTCTAAAAGCCTAATTAGGTCACAATGGCTTAGTATAGAAATACCATATTTAAAATCTAAAGAAGAAAAATATATTAATGAACTTCACTGACATATTTCTCAAGAGGTGTTTAATTATACCTACCAATCTCAGCTCTGTTATCATGAATCAGTTGTTCCAGGTGCCATCCAGAGTTCCCCCAAACACTTCAGAAGGGTACAGTTTCCATTTGATAATGGTCTTAAAAGAACCCCCATGAAGCGGTCAGGGGAACTCCAGGGGACAACTGAAGCTCCTTCTGTTCTTCTTCTGCACTCACCATACCTAAAAACAGCAGCCACGCGTAGTATTTTGTATGTCCAAAATTAAAGGCCTTAAAGGTGAGAGAGGCCCAGTAGAGATGTGTGAAGATAGCATTCACAAAGTTGCCAGAGTTGAACCTGGTCAGAATTGTGAGTATTATGAAGGCAAGAATGATATGATATGATTGAGAGGTCCTAAAATTCCCGCCACCTTTTGTTCTTATTCATCTCTAAGGTCTACCTTTTTGTTCAACTTTGTATGAGGAATCAAGAGCTTAAGGTAAAATTAATTTGAGGATAATAGCTAATGTAGCTTAATCAATCCGAATTAATCTTAAAGCAAAGACATATACTCAATTAGGTTGATTTAAAATGAGCTGAGCTAAGATTCGATATAGTGATAGTGTGGACCAGTTTATAGCACCTTCAATTCAACTAGGCTCACGTGGCCTTTTGTCATCACAGATGTTACGTTAAGAGCATATATAGTAGAATCTCGTGAGGATTTCTTTTCATCTCGGAGAAAAGCTGAAAGTGAGAGGGTTGATAAAGATGAATATAGCCATTAGCCTTACCATCGATCATTTCCTAGCTCCAATTTATACCAGAGTTGCGTCCAAGTTCACTGGGAATAATAGAGGCAACACACTTCTTCTAGCTCAACCTATAAATAGAGGCAATAAGTGATGAAGAAGGCATGCATTCAGTGCCCATCAGGTGTCTCCTAGAGTTCTCCTGAACACTTCATTGGGGACTCCTAACTTTATGGGTGTTTTGCCTACTGAAGTGTTTGGGGGAACTCCCGGACTCATTTGATATTTTAATTACTTGAAGATTCCTGCAGGATTTATGTTATAATATATTGGTTATTAATTTTAATTGAATTATCTTCTACATGCAGGAAAATCAGTTCTGGAGTTTTTGATGAGATTGGCATGTATAGTCTCTTCTTTGCTGCAAACATGACTGTATGTGTTTAACTAGTTTTAAGAAAATCCCCAAATTGCATTTGCTAATGAATCTAAAACCTAGAAATTAGAAAGGTAGCATATTCGTGTTACTCTCATACTCTTATACATTGATTATTCATAAATATATTTTAATTGTTCTTGACAGATTTCAAGTGCTTCATCAAATTATATGAAAACTTTAATTAGCTACGTCAAATTATGTTATGTTTAAAAAATCAAGGCTGACGTTAGCTTACATTAATAGGCACCAATCAGAGTTTAGGAAAGCTTTACACTGCCTAGGAGTTGCCACATCGCTCTATGACAGAAAGAATATGGCTATCACCAACTTGGCAGATTCATGTTTTGTCTATGAGTAATTAAGGGCCACACACCTGTCCAACCCCAGGTAATTTGAGAATATTTCCTAAGTTACCAGTCAATGGGAGGCAAGGTTTTGTCTATGAGTGATTGAGGGTCACCTGTCCAAACCCCAGATAATTTGAAAATATTTCCTAAGTTACCAGCCAATAGGAGGTAAGGAAGGACTTGCACGGCACCTACCCACTTGCAAATTTGTAATCATCACCTTGAATTCCTTTACTATAAATAGAAGACTCCCCTCTCATTTTCGAGATTCTGATCCCGAACCCTCATTCTGATTGTAATCTTTATTTTCAGAGCAAAGATAACTCATGAGAAAGAAATTGACTTAATATTCTTCTGAATACTCAGTTATTGTACCTCTGCTCACTGTTCGCTATACGCAACCTCTTGTAATCTCTCATATATAAAAAAAACCGTGAACGTAGGATTCGCTTTAGACATCCGAACTATTTTAAAAACTATATATCTAATTTATTATTCAGTCTTTGTATCTGATCATAATCACTCATATGTAATTTTTAAGAGCAGTTTAATACTTTGAACGTGCGAGTCGTTGGTGTCAAAATCATGCATCAACAAATTATATGAAAACTTTTTAATTAGCTAGCTACCAACCTGATGATGTCCAACACGTAAGTTTGAAGTACTTCAGCTTTGTAGCGACACCAGTATTAGCATCGGTGCTAATGGTGCCGACGTAGAGAGTTTTTCCAGTGGTAGTGAATTATCGATATGATATTTATAGGCACACAACGCAATTTCATGTTAATTGGCTGCAAGACAAAATTTTCTGTAGTGTATTTTAATTTTTTTTCCTGATCATATTGTTGTTGGTTTTGATGGTTTTTTTTTTTTTTTTTTTTTTTTAATAATTATTTTTAATGCATTTGCAACTTAAATTGAGAGATTGTTTTCATGAAGTTTAAATTAAAGCTAGTGAACATTACAATTGTAATTATCCTTCGGAAAGATGCGATATCAAATTTGAATCTGAATTTAGGGCTAGAAAGAACATTTTCAAATGGAACTTTTTTTAATTTTCTGCTTCAGAAGGTTGTGAAATTACTGAAATATTTTTAGTTGAAAGAGATTTGCCTCCAATTTGGCTGCAGGAACAATCTTTTGTCAATACTCTATAGCCCCAGGTTTGTTTTTTTATGTAAATTTGTTTGCTTTCTTTCTTATTTGGTTGAAGTTCGCATGTGCTTTAGATATTCTTAAAAAGAAGATATAATTGATTAATTCTCCATCCCAACTTTGGCTTAAATGTTCTTTACATAACAATATCAAACTCAATTAAAAGAAGATCTTAATCTATATATTTCTTAAGTTCTTATAGCACCTTAACTGAAGATTCTCTATCTTCTGTTCAAATCCGAGGATATAAACAACAATTCTTTGGAGTCATCACTCAATATCAATTAAATTTTACATTGAAACCCATGTTTTCTAATGCGCACAATTTGATTATAGATCAGCTCGTTTTATCACGGTGTTAGATTCTCTGATTTAGCTTACATTTTCTAATTAACAATCATAGTGTACCCGATAAAAGGGTGATGGATAGTCCTTCAGCAATTGGTTTGTGAAAGCAGAATTGTGTTTTAAGGCAGCTGTTGAATTAATATTGTATGATATTTATACGCTGTTTTTGTCCTAATCCTTGAAGAATAAAGATATAATCTTTAAGTAAACTAGCGTCTCAATCCTTTGGTCTTTATATATTATGGTTTATTTAGGGTCTAAATTGAATAAATAACCTAAACTTATGAGACCTTTCAAGTAAGACGTAGACCAGTGGAAGAAAAAAGTTACATACATATAATACAACAAGATCAATTTAATAAAAAAAAAAAAAAATGGAAGAAGATTTTGCCCGATCTCTTCTTGAACTCGATTCATGGCCTCAAAGCAAACATGTATGGAGCATTAATATGTTAAATTGGATAGAGAAACCGAGAGTGAAAGGAAATTTTAGCGGTCGAGAAGAGGGGTGAAATTAAACTTAAAACACTATAATGATTTTAGCAATGTCAGTTATTTAATCAACATCTATCGGAAACTCTAATATGCATTCAATGTCGAGCTAAGACTATCGCGAAGTAAACAATTGGTCTGTCTCAGCCTTGACTATGGAATCTGATTTTCTTGCGTCTAACTTACCCTTGAATCCTGGTTGGCAGCAGTATTTCCAGCTAGCCCTATGAAGCTATCTAACAAGCCCTTCAATTCATCTTCATCTCTGACTATACCTTACCGTCCTCATACCTCAGGCAATACAGGCTGCCACAGACTCCAGATAACTCGATCGATCAGGTCTGTTGAAAATTTCATTGCCTTTAATCAAACTGTTAAAGAAAGCCCTAAACTCATCCTTGCAATGACGTTACTAATGGCTAATGCGGAATCGATCAACAATCGGCTTCCTAGCTAGCCTCTAGACCGAAGCACCAACTCCTCTCTTACTCCCCCCTTCTTTAATGTGCATATTGAGGAATATATAATTTTAACTTTTTAAGAAAAATCTTTTTTAAATTAGGAAAACCCTAATTTTAAGGGATTTGAAAGTAAGGATTAGAATTATCTTCGGTTATTCATGTAGTGATGTGTGTTGTCAACGGAAAATATAAAATTCCCCTTTTACTTGAGTCATAACTCATAAGTAGTCTATCAAAATAAACTACCCAAGAAATCTAGTCTAAAATCAATCTATATTCCTATTATATAAAGATCCAATATGGCATTTTTAGTTGTTTTTTGTTATATGATAAGTTTGGTTTTGTTTACCTCTTGCCTCTGGGTGGGTGGATGGGTGTGATGATAATGTTAGCAGAATGCGCACTATAAAAAAAAATATTTAAGATTAATAATATAAGACTAAAATCATACTATACAAAAAGATACAATATTTACGTGATTCAACAGAATCCGCCTATATCCATGAATAAAATAAATTTATTATAATTTCATAAACACAATATACAAGAGTACATAACATCATAAACCCGACAATCCCTGTTTCAAGATCATAAACTTTACTCCACTCTCCTAGCTATATACTACAGAAAATTTTCAACCCAAAAAAAGAAAACTAAGCCACCAAAGATTTATAAATAGACGGCATCTCAAAGCGGCTAACTGGTCAATACTACTGGCTCTCTTTCCACCACAATGCTTGTCATCGATCCTTCGTGAACCACTCGCTCGCAGCTTTCAACTTCAGCCATTGATATCGCACTTCGTTACATAAACCCTTTGAACTTTGGTTATAGAAGTACATACTGTAAAACCATTCCCAGTACCCAAGTGGCTGTTAATGATATTGAATATCACTCTAATTATCTTATCACAACATTCTTGATCGAATATTTGCAGAGATGTTAGTGCGTCCGAGAGTTGTTTGTCTACAGTAAATGGTTTTTTTTAAGGATTTCAGGAAGCTGAAAAATGCATGATGCTTCTTGTGTTTGCATTGAGGCACTGCCAAGATAGATTACGTTACCGTTCTGGTCGATAAATTCACACTGCACTCCCATCATAACCTTGACTTGAACACAATCTGGACTTGAGCACAATCTGGGTATAAATCTGCAGAGAGTGCTGCTGCCGAAATAGTGTAACGGTTGGAACCCTCAAGAAAAGGCATCCTCAATCTTCAAGAATCAATTGGACAGACGTTTAAAGAAAAGAGAAGGTGAAGGGGGATAAATTAATTGTGTTTTCAATTGGAACATGGTTGATTAGGAGGAGATTTATACATAACCATATCATATGCATGATTCAATCAGTGATGAGGAAGGATATATGTATGAAAAGTTATTTCCCAAATCTAATGCTACGCGTTTCCATATCAAATTAGGAAGCTTTCCTACTTCTCAAGTCACTACTACTCACAACTCTTATGTTCGAAAAAGGTAAATAAAAAACACAGTAACTAATACAACTTGAAAAAAAAATAGTTATTCATGTGGAGATATTAATGTAAGGCTTGATCAACAAGTAATATGTAAATCTTCTCTTTCTTCTAATTAATTAACTATTAAAGAATTTATTAAATCATAATAGTTTACCTTAATTTGTATATGATCCAGAAATCCAAGCATAATAATTAATTCCTGCTCATCACCACCAGGCTCTCACTTCCCAGTTTGCCATAGCCCGTCTATATTATTCGGTTCGCTTTCCCTGCACTAGTGTTAAATGCACCCATTATTGCCGAACCTCATTAATGGACCACAAAACAAATGTACTCGTCCTCAGTTGGATTAGCAAATATATAATGAAGAAGTTGAGAATCACCCTACGCATCTATCTAGCTAAAATATCCTTCAGTTTTCTCGGTTTTGGACCACAAAATCCAACTCATATACATTTATTTTATGTATTTTGAATTGGTTGATAAATTAATAAATTGAATAAGATGATATAGTTAATTTGTGTCTTCAGATTACTTGTTATTTTCTATCTTCAAAGATCATAAATGCCAGGACGTAACAAATAAACCAAAGATAAAGTCATATTTTTTTCTATAACACAAATTGCTTGGCAACTAAAAATGCCAAACGTAGCAATAATTTGGATCATAGTTTATAATTATGACTGAACTTTAAAAAAGAAAAAAAAAAATCACAATTTGATGAAGACTACGCAACTCTATAAGAAACCAAAAACAAAATAAATATTAATCAAATACAATTTAGACAGGAATATTACATGGGAATAAGAAAGTATTTGCCATTGAGAAATCAATTAAAAAGAAGAACTGACTTATGTGTTCCAGATTATCGTTAGAGCATAAAAAAAATAAAAAGCTGAATATCAACTCATTGACGTCCTTGATAAATTGGATAATTAAAAAAAAGGGGTATACAATACAACATCTAAAGAGAAGGAAGACGAAGAGATTAAAGAAAAATAATAATGGTACACAATGTGGTTCATAAATGAGAAATCGAATTAAATCCAGAAGAGTGAAACTAATAGGAACAAGTAATGGATAAGTTATGATAACCTGTTAAGATGGAGAAGATCGAAAAGAAAAAGCGTCGGTCGGATGCCATCGAGAGTTCCTCCAAACACTTCAGATGGGCAGCTAAAGTAAAAGTAATAAGGAATGAAGATGAAGAGCCCCAGTGAAGTGGTCAGAGGAACTCTGGGTGACAGCTGACTTTTCATTATCATTTGATTTCTCCCCGGTTAAGTATCTTTATATGTTTCCCCTAAAATGAACCTGGTCTGGATTGTGGGTTATATGAAAGAGTAAAGAACAATTTTACAAAGACTGACTGACCACCACACATCACACATCACATGTATGTTTAATTTATTTATAAAATACCAGAATTCCTAGCATTTTTAATTATCTTAATATTGAGGTTAATAATTAAGCATGCCAAAGTAATTGATATTAAACAAGTAAAATCTCAATTTGTCCATAAATTAATTTGTAGTAATGGACGTTCAAGATCAATTAATCTAAGTATTGGAAAAATCCATATGCATGGAGATTCAGAGATTTCAATTAAGAAGAAAGTCTGTGAAGATAAATCTACGGTCTCATAAGTTATTAGTTTCCACTCCAATAGAATCATTTGTAATTCCCTCACACGTTGTATTGATTATTGAATCAATTCATCACTTTTCCATAAAGGGTTACAACCATGTTCACCCGGAAACTGCAGAAACTACAATCTACGGTTAAGGTGTTAACTTTAAAAACAATGAAGGGTAAATTAGATCTTTCTCACCAAAATTTCTGGACATGCAAATTTTAAAATACGAAAATGAAAAAAAAAAAAATTTAAAGAAACATAAATAATATACACAATTTAGAAAAATTAAAAATCATTAGAAAAATTAATTTAGGAATTTTTTAAGATTTTTAAAAGGATTTAAGAAATTCTAATAACAATATATATATATATATATATATATAAACCTTAACAACTATAAAGATATCTGACGCTTCGAGCACGGCCGACATGGTTTTAAAGTTTTTTCTTAATTTTTTTTTTTTTATCTTTTTCTTAAAGTTACTTAATTTTAATATTTATTTTAGAAATTAATGGTAAAAGAGTCAACTTTAAAACAGACTCGTAGGCAAATTTGTAATTATAACGGGCAACTAGAGTTTTTTCATACATCCATTTTGTGGACTTAAACTAACAGTAAGGGTGTAGATTGTAGTTTCTGAAAAAAATGGTGGCTGACCGTTATTTTATGAAGTTTCAATTGGGGTGCATGCGCATAACCCTTTCCATAACAAGTAGTGTAATGTTTAAAACTTTCCCACAAAGTAATCAATTTACATAAATTTTATATAATTTTTTTACATAAATTTTATATAATTTTTTTCTGGTTGTGTGACTCAATTGTAAAAAATACATTATTATTCTATAACATATTATTTGTCAAAGCAGTCGATCATAACAATGTTAGTTTTAGTTTATGGAACCCTTGATTGTGTCCCAACTTTTGCCCCTTTTTTTTTTCAAAATAGAAAAGATGGAAAATTCAACACTTCATCAGCTATTTAGCANTTAATAGTAATTTAATTTTCCGAATTAGTATGTTCTTTCCACAAATGATCAATTAATGCATTTCGAAGAGCATGGTGAGCCTCTATGTAACAGCTGCTTTCTACTCATATACTCAGAAAATACATATAATGAAATACATGTACTATAACATAAATAGATGGGCCCAAATTTTTTCTTTTATTAAACATACATATACTTTACACAAATATAAAGTATTATATATACAAAAGCTCTCAAAAACAGGGTGGACAGTGTAACTATTTTTCTTCGCTTGCCGACGCCCATCCGACTGCATCCACACCTAGAACCTGTAACCACAAAGGAAAATGACGGGGTGAGCACAAAAAGACTCAGTAAATAAATCCTCTACTAATCTATCCCCGTAACTCTTTCTCTTAATTATTTTCCTTACAATACTCCCTCGTTCTCTCTGTTTCTCTTCCATATAGCTCTTTTTTCTGTCAACTGTTTCTTAAATGTCACGGCCCCATCTTACCGGAGGCACGGTTGGAACTCGTTTCACTCTTCGTGACTTATACTTTTCTCTCTCTGTTCTTTCTCATTTGAATGTCATGGTCTCATCTCACCGGAGGCGCGGCCGGGAACTCAAGCCCGCTCTGCGTGACTTTTACTCTCTCATATGTCACGGCCCCGTCTTACCGGCGGCACGGTCGGAAGATCACAAAGCTCCCACTACTCGTGACCTTTTCTCATTTCTATTTCCTTTCTGTTTCTGTTTCTATTTCTCATACTCTTCTCTATAAGTTCTCTGATGTATGTCACGGCCTCTTCTGACCGGAGGCACGGCTGGGGAATCACAAAGCACCCACTCTTCATGACTTACTCATTTTCTCTACCGATCGGATTTGGTCATGCATAGATTCGGAACCCTTGGCCATGTGAATGTATTCTCTCTCTCTCTGAATGTCACAATCACTTCTGCACCAGTGGCACGGTTGGAACCTCACGTTCCACTCTTCGTGACGGTCACGGCCCTATCTTACCGGAGGCACGGCTGGGGATCACAAAGCACCCACTCTCGTGACTCTACTCATCACTCACGGGTTCCCCATCACACAACCTACTCTATTCTTTTGTTTAGCACTACTTTCTCTTTGTTTTTTAGTGCTCATTCTCTCTTTTTCTCTACTCTTAGGGTAGCTTAAACTCAAATTCTCTACTCTTTCTCTATAGAGTAGTTCAACCTGAATTTCTCTACTCTCTCTCTCAAGCTATTACTCAATACATAATGGAGCTTAACTTTTAGAGTAATTCACTACTCTTTCTCAACTTTTTCTTAAATTCTTTCTCAATGCACGATTAATGCATATGGATGGTTCATGCTTATTAATGCACTTAGGAAATGCCAATATACAATGTTGCAATAATTAAGGTTCATAACTCATTCTCATGTTTCTCTTAGGCATTTCATCAAACAACTCAAGTGCATATACAAACTCTACTATAACAATAGCTCTATTTCTTTCTCTAACCATCCAAAATGGGAGAAAACTCCCTCACAAAGCTACAATTCCTATCAAGGAAAAACACTTCTAAAAAGGTTCACTCAAAACCTTCCAAACTCCATCTCAAACTACATCCTCTCATCACATTTTAACACTTCTCTTAAATGAAGTGTAATCAATCACAACATGGATAAATACTCATAACATCTCAACTCAATTTCTCAACAAGCTTAATACATACAAACATAAAGAAATCTCTACTCAAATGATTTCTTAAACTTTAGCTTGAGTTGGATTTTACTTACTTGTGATGGAGTGATTCCATTAGCACTTCTCTTTACCTTTGATAACTTGTCTATTCTCTACAATTTTAACCAACCATGCTATAAGACTTCACCTCATATAAAGGTAAAATTAACATCTAAAGCAAGAATCTTTACCTTAGGATGTTTTAGATTAACTTCCCACTTCAAACTACTCAAAAAGCCCTCTTGAATCCTTGAAAGATTGAAGGAAAACTTGAGAGGAATGGAGAATGAAGGAGGCGGTGGAAGAAGAAGAATGAAGGGTTTGCAATGACTTAATTCCTTTTAACTCAATTTATGCACAAGCATTCCCATGTTGCCCTTACTCTTCCTTGGGAATTCCATCTATATCCTTTAATTCATTACAATCACACCCCCATATCAACATATTCTCCATGAAATTTTCTTACATTTTACTCCCCACTTTTCCTACTAATTAGGGGTAGAATGGTCAAATTGCCCTTAGGGAAGAAAATATCTAAAACTTAACAAATTTTTCAGGCGGCCCGTCGCCGCGACGAAGAACCTTCCGTCGCCGCAGCGAAATACTCCAGCAGTTACTCCGTGGGCAACAGCACCTCTTCGCCGCGGCGAAGCTTCTTCTTCGCCCCGACGAAGCCTATAACCCCAAAATTTCGCCAATCCTTCATAATTTTCAAGGCAAACACTCAACCAAATCAACTCATCAATCCAACTAAGGGCCAACCAACCTAAAATGACAACATGCAAGCTCCAATGAGGACAAATCAATAAACATTCAAGCCAATCATCAAATCGTAACTATGTACCTCAAGTGGGGCGTTACACTCTATATCCTTGATTTGTTTATGTCGAGCAAGAAAATTTCGAAATCGTATATTCTCAAATTTGGTGTTAATTTTTATTTTAAGTTATTGTAGTTTAACATTTGCATTGAATAAAATTCTATTTTTAATTTTTCATCATTTTTTGAATTATATCATTATTATGAATTTATTATTATAAATAATAATCAAATTAAATTAAATACAAATAATCAAATTTGGTGTGATTTCTGGTGTAAAATTTAATACTCAAATTAACTTAACAAAACTAAAAAAAACAAAAAACAAAAAACAGCAAAATTAAAAAAAAAAAAAATTATTGGGCGCTACAGCGCCACACCAAAATGGCATGACGTTTTAGCGTGGGTTGGAGCACCAACCCACGCCATTTTTGTGTTTTTTACACCATTTTGGTGTGGGTTGAAGATGCCCTAACAAGCAGTGTAACATTTAAAAGTATAAGACAGAATAATCATTTCCCATAAATTATAACTCAATTGTAAACAAAACATTATTGTTCTATAACATATTAATTGTCAAAGCAGACGAACATAACAACGTTAGTTTTAGTTTATGGAGCCCTTGATTGTGTCCCAACTTTTGCTTTTTTTTTTTTTTTTTTTTTTTTAAAAAAATAGAAAAGATGGAAAATTCAACACTTCATCAGCTATTTAGCACAATGACATACAAATTCCGACAAAAAAGATATGTAACCAAACAAACTCTAAATTATTCATCTCAAACTATTCTTTTTGCATCCAGCAAAAACTATTCAGGAGAATTTCAGAATTTCTTAAAAACAAAGCTTCTATCTACACAAAGAAAGCAAGGGATGAAGTTGTTATCATCACAAGATTGCATCAGTGTGCCGAACGAGTAGTTGCTGTCTTCTTAAAATCAATTTTGTCAACCTTTACTTCGCCATCAATTAGTTCATATACGTAAACCACAACACGCAAACCGTCTATGTCCATCAGTACAAAGCTTGGGTTTACATCATATGTGAAACTACTATAAGCACCGGTAGCAGATCCAGGATTTATAACAACACCGCCCTCATGTTTGTAGGCCTTGAACTGATGGGTATGACCAGTCACAAGGATGTCCACATCCAATTGCCTCTGTAGCATAGCCAATGAATCCAAGTCGCCCCAAGGAATCACCTTAAGATGGTTGAATGCAAAAAGAGAAACAATGCAATCAGTACCAAAGCAAACTCCGCACTTTTATTGCAATCACTATCAAACTCAAAACATTACTGGATGAAATGCATATATGTCCAAACAACTTTGATTAAATTAAAGACATAGGTCTTTGATTAAATTGAAGACATAATTTGAGCATAAGATATTGAGTTTCGACATGAAATTGCCATAATTATCTTAAGCATGATTCCAGGAAATTAAATCACAGTGCAGAGATTAAGAACCAAAACAGTTCTGGCGGTCTGTTGATTGACACTAGCTTCTGAATCAAGGAATTAAAGTCCCAGCACTCAACATTTTCCTTCAGCTGAGAAAGAAACAGAGCAATCTTTTGGGGGGAAATAAAACCAATATCATTTATCTGCTTAAAAGGCACAGTAGACATGAAAAGGACAATATCTTCCTAAAGTACACAACACACTATCACACTTAATGTAGACTCTTCGCCTACACAACCTTACCTATATCCAATATTGCAAAATACAGGTCTGGATACCTTCAATAAATTTTCACAGCGCAGGTTTCATATCCCAACCACAGTCCCAGTACAAACCAGCACAGAAGGTTCTTAACTTTTCAATCATACATGCACACACAATACCACAAAGTTTTTACGCTTACCTAAAAACACTATGGTTATAGGATCACACAAATTTTCACATTTCAATACATGCTTCACTCCACCCTTCACTCCATCCTAGAAATGTCATATTAATACCAAAAAATTCCACTAATTTAATTTCATTTCAATTATTGAAAATTTGAAATAACAAAATTACAGTAATTCAACTGCTAGTGGACACAAAAATATGAGCGACAATTTATTCACAGCAACCCATAAGCACAAGAATCAAGCAATTAACTGGAGAGGCATGTATCTTCATAGAAGAAAACAAGATTTAGTAAGCAAACCATGGGAGAAACAAAAGGAAAACCAAACCTGATGACCATGACATATTCCAAGTTTGAATTGACCAATGGTGAGTGTCTTAGTTTCTGGATAACGTGAATCTTCATCGTATTCACCTCGAGTGACATGCAAATCAGGACAAAGACTCTTCAAATAATCATTGACTTCCTGATCATCAATAGAAGTTGTAAGAGTAAATCTAACAAGATATTTTTGTATCAATATGTTGAAGAAGGATTCAAGGAGCGGTGCAATAAATACAATACAAGTTTTAACCAATTCCAGAAAGCATCCAAAGTATTAGCCACATCCATGAAGATCTAGAAGACAAGCAGCAGCAATGACATAAAAGCAGGGCATCAACACTTTAAGATAGTCTTTTGGAGATTTATTTATCTGGATTCATGACAGAATTAACAGACATGACCAAAACAAATCTTCAATTCACACGCAGGCTACCCAACTAAAATGACAATTGTAAAATAAGGATTGCAAGAAGCTAATTTAATGATTCATTTTGAACTCGAAAGGTTTGAACAATAACTGTTTCCATCTAATTTATCCCACCAACAATAAATCCAATAGACAAGATGGTTGCACTATTTCACCAGCCATAGATAAAATTATTGATTATCCTATCTTGTACGATTTATTGATAAAACAAAAGGCATATGTTGATTAAAACGGTAGTAATTTGGTATAGAATCCAAATTATAGACTCTCTATTGTTTTCCCTTCATTTTTCAACATAAATTGAATAAAAAGCCAAACTCAGTCTTTTCAATAAAATTGTTATATCACTATCAACCTACAATAACTAAATCCAAAGACAATAGCAGGGGAAAAGTTTTTTTAAAAATAAAATAAAATAAACCAAATGCAGAATTGCCTGAGAAAGAAAAAGATATATACTTTAATGGAGAGATTGCCAGTGCAAATGATGTGCTGAATCTTGCCAGGAACAAGCATGGATTTGAACTTTGGTGGGAGATCAGATGCCCTGTGAGGAATGTGAAGGTCTCCTATTGCTAAAACTAACACCATCTTCAACAGAATACACAATATATATTTCTTAATATTCACTCATCATCACAGTCTGCACAAACCCACATCAAATTTAACATTTAATAAAGAACCCAAAAACACCCAGATCAAAATCAACTTAAATATGAATGAAATTAACTACTAAGGATAAGAGCTTGAATTACGATATTAAGGAGAACAACAACTTGAAGTGAAGAAAGCAGGGTTCTTGTTAATTATCAACCATCTCACTGAATTTTTGGTTGTTCCTTGTTTACATAACGCCGATGTTTGGACTCTGGGACCACCTTATTCTGGGTTGGGATAAAGTAGAAATTTTTGGATTTTTTTTATTTTAGTAAAAACATTCCACTTACCCCACGGGACCCACACATACGCCCAGTCTAAAATCATCTTGCCTAGTGTATATTATTAAGCAAACCACATATTCCCACCCGCTGTTTGGCAAAAGCTTAAGTTGGTATCTCTAGTTGTATTTATTTCAGATTTTCATCCTTAAAGTAATACTTTTAGAGATTTTTAGGTTCAAATAGTGCTATTTTCATAATGCCCTTAACAAATAAATTAATAGATTACATTTTAACCCCTAAATTAGTAGAATTATAAAATTAACCATCTTACTTTAAAATTAACCCTCTCGGTTTTTGCCCAATCTAGGCTATTTCCAACGAATTTGAACCACCCTGTCACCTCCATCATCTTCCCCATGGTCAATACTCCAAAACCCCCCTATTTCTCGACTCATTGATCCCTTCGATCACCAGTGTCGTTAGGTTTAGGGTTTAGCTATTCTTCACCGAATTCCGACGAAAAAAATCCAATTGGACACCACCACGCAAAACACCTCTATCCCCAACAACTGGTTTCGTTCGCTAGCGTACAGGTTCATGCTCATCATGTTTTTTGGTGAAGTGGTGAATGGCAAATGGTGAGCTGTCGTGGTCGGGAAGGTTAGGGGTTTTTTGGGGGGGAGGAGGAGTCAAACTGTGGTGATGGTTAGGGTCTACTTGGGAGTTTTTTTCTCAATGGTTTTGGGGGTTTTTTATTAGACTGGTTTTGAAGTGTTCTAAAACCATTATTTGCCAAAATTTTTATACACTGGTTTTAACTGGCTCAAACCCCACCCAGAACCAATGTAGTGTATTTTTTAGGGATATAATAAAACCTCCCAAATCAGAATGTTTTCGTTGGTTTTAAAATTTTATTCCAAAAATACCCTATCCACTACAAAATTATCCCAATTATATCCAAAAATCACTATTGCCGATAAAAGTACACAAAACAGAAGGAAAGAGAAAAGACCTGACTTCTTTTCATTCAATTGTTCATTCTTCAGCTTTTTCAATTCTCTCAACAAGTTTCGTTTCTTTCTTTCTCTCTCGTTTTTTGTTTGGGTTTAATGGCATATCTGTCATGCTTAAATAAGGGAAAGATCCTTCACTCTCTCAATATAATCATTCAGGTTTTCCTTTTTTTATTTTTATTATTGGGTGCTTTATAATTGACTGAAACGATGGGCTATTCTTTATTTTTTTGGACATTTACAAGCAATTTAAAATTTATTTCATTCCCAAATACTTCTTTGATTTGCCCTAGATTTGCAAAAAGTTATTCTTTTCAATTTTTTTCCTCTAGTTATTGTTGTTATTTTTTAATGGATTTGTGGTTTTAATAGAGGTCTTTTTTATAGATAAAAAGTTTATTTTTTTTTTTTTTTTTTTTTTTTTTTTGTTGAGATGGGTTATATGGTGTTGATTGTTGTGATGCTGTTGAACATGAATGCAAATAAAAACTGATCCTTGGAAGGCTGAAAATAAATCCTTAAAAGATGACATAGCTAAGTGGAGTTTATTTAGATTTTTTTTTGGGTGAAATTATGATATAAAGAAGAATTTTTTTGGGTCATATTATGATTGCATTTCAGCAGTCACTGTTATGATTAATATTTCTCTAGGATCTTTGCTTTAGAGTTGATGCTTTACAAATTTTCGGCATAAAGTTTCTATGGAGTGGTGGTTTGAAGGGTTCTGTATGTACTTTAGCTAAACATTTTATTAGAATGATGATATGATCACGTTGTGTACTGTTTGATAATACTTCTTTTGTTGTGTGATCGTTCTTATTTATTAGATGGCTGGCCATGATGACTTCAACAATGATGATTTGATCATGTACGCTATCATTTGTATACATCATTTTCATATGATGTTTCTACTACTAGTTGGATGTGTTTTAGCACAACAACCCATAGCACAAGCTACTTCACGTTTGAATAGAATTACTCTTGCAATATGCTTGCAAAGTGAGTTCGGGATGAAAAAATGTGACGTATTGTTGGACCAAGTGGTTGATATTTGATTCGAATGGGTCCCACAACATTTCTAGAGTTTTAGCAATAGAAGGAGGGCTTCGTTCAACTCAACAAGCTACAGTTGAAGAACAATTTGTTAAATTCCTTTGGATTATAGGTCAAAACACTAGGCATAGTGCGTGTTCATTGCTTGTCCATCACTCCGGTGAGACAGTTAGTCGCCACTTTCATAAAGTGCTGGAAGCAATCATAGAGTTAGAGGATAAATACCTCTTACAACCAAATGGACTCCAAGTGCTACTTGAAATACAAAACCACAATAGATTTTATCTATACTTTAAGGTGTACACCGCAAACACAACATTTTAAATACTTATACTATTACCTTTACCTAATTAGATAAATATAGTAGGATTGTGTTGGGGCAATAGATGGCACACATATTCATGTTAAAGTACCAGTTGTACGTGCTGCTAGGTACCGTGGTAGGAAGGAATATCTAACTATGACTATTTTGGTTGCTTGCACATTTGACTTGAAATTCACATATGTGTTGACTGGGTGGGAAGGAACTGCTTGTGGCTCTAGAATGATTAAAAATGCCCTAACACGAGATTATCTACTCCATATTCCAACAAGTATTAGTTAGAAACTTGGTTTTTTTATAATTTGAAACTATTGTGTTGACAATATATGTGGTAATGTAGAAAAATTTTATCTTGTTGATGTAAGTTTCATGCTTCGAAGTGGTCTCATCACACCTTACAGAGGAGAGCGTTATCACATTAAAGAGTACTCACAACAAAACCCTCCTAAAAATGCTCGTGAACTATTCAATCATCGACACTCTTCATTGCGCAATGCAATAGAGAGAGTATTTGGTGTACTCAAGAAACGTTTCCCCATTATTGGAAGTGGGACTGAACCGATGTACAACATTCAATCACTAAACTAATTGCGTCTACTTGTTGCATAGTTCATAATTTTCTAGTGGGAATGGATCTGGATGAAGGTCTCATTGTTGGGGTTGATGCGAAAATCGCTAGGGAACCTATAGAGCATACAAACCATGACCATAATTTAGATAATCACGAAGATGCAAGAAAAAGTGAGTTAATTCGAAACTCAATAGCAAATGCAACGTGGGAAACATATAATTTAAACCAGCATTGAATGCCAATTACATTTGTGTTGTACGTTTTCAATGTAATTCTTTTTCTATTAACATTAAGTGGTATGATGTGGTGTAGTGACTGTAAGATAACGGATCCATTACGCAACAAAATTTAACAAAAAAAATTATTCGAAGATTCGCTAACCTTTAGCCCATGATCCTTATGCTGAATACATTATTTTTGCATAAAAATCAAATCAAAGGTAAAGTGTATCATACTAGCATTGGAGGCTCCTTCGATTTGATGATGGATTCACAAATCACTTCAATGTAGAAGTGCACAATCGGTATCCACACGAAGACAGGACTATCGCCATTATGAGATTTTATAGACTAGCAAAATCTCACAACTATAAGAACAAATAGTGTTTTACATCATTTTTCTTGGGAGAAAAATTCTCTCTCACAAGGAGGCTCATGGATTTGTTAGAGAGAGAGGAGGCTACCGTTTTAATTTTTCAACTCAAAATCACTTAAATGATTTTAATTTTTAGTTGCACTTAAATAGTGCATACTAAAATTCTATTCCGACTTGGAATAGCCATCTATTCCAATTGGAATAAAAAACAACTTACTCCAATTTGGAATAGATTCCCCTTGCAACCAAACATGGCATCTCTAATTCAAATTTAAAAACCAAAATTTGAATTTCATATTATCAATATTAATATTAGATAATATCCAATATATTTAAATTCAATTCAATTCAAATTTAAAAACCAAATTTGAATTTCATATTATTAATATTAATATTAGATAATATCCTTTATATTTAAACTCAAATATATATTTGAATATACATAATTTCACTAATTTAATTTCCACATGAAATTAAATTTAGGCAACAACCTCAGCAAATTTTATTGTATTGTGAGATTACCAAAATGTCCTTTTGCCATAAATGACGAAAATACCCTTTCATCATAAATGACAAAAATAGCCCTCTCACAAATTATGTTCTTAATATGTCTTCTATGTGTGCAATCTGAAGGCTCCTCATTGTATCAATAGTGAATAGTATCGCAATTGACAATTAATCAATCTTCCCACTTGACACATACCAAAATTGGCCTCTAGCCAGGCATCATGGTCACCCGATAGATTCGGATTCAACGAAACCGCTACCTATCAACGATATGGTTACCGTGAAATTCAATCATTTCTTCATCTATTATCTCATCAAGGTCGAGGCACAGAAGTAGTGTCAACCTCGGATATCCTTGATATCTCGGTATTCGGTTATTTGACCAACAACTGGAATAGATTGGATTGAGCTACAACTCAATCCCACTATGGCCACAGATTTAATGTCGTTGCCATTTACCGAATTACTCAGTGTGATAATTTCTTCTGTACCTGGGAGTGATGAATCCTCTATCGATCTGCCATAGTCTCGATACACTTTTCAATGCAACCAACCACTACTGTTCTGATAGTCCTGAGAAGACTACGTTGGGCTAGTGTCAAACTACACCAATCAATGCACAAGACGCTTTGGTGATCTCAAGTCTAAGGATCACATGCACCACCATTCATTGGAGGATTTGTTTCACAGACACTAGGGTAATCATCTATGTGGAATCCTCCGATAGGCTGGTCCGGTGAACTTGCCTATAGCAAGCACTCATGTATTGCACCAGATTGTCACCAAACAACCTTGACAAGTGAGATCTGTCACTGCCTTTTGACATGGTCGTCCAACACTATGATAGTCTTACCGTATTATCTATGCTCTAGGTCAAGATAA